ATATATAGGTGGCGCTCTCTGTTGTCAACAGACAAGATTTTGGTGAAGGTAGTAAATAATACATTTTTTGTCACTTATTTTATTAATACTTTTTTTATTATTACAGTAGAACCACGTTTTTAGGTACCTCAGTTTTACGTATGCCTCGTACCGATGATGACATCATAAAAACCCCCAAAATGCTCAAAACAAACAGGCCTTTTCAGGGCCACCATGTAAAAATAGATTTGTTAGTTTCTGTCTGTTAGCTTCGTGTGAAAACCCCTTCTGATCAAATTTTCTACATGAAGTGTACTACTGGGTAGGCATAATTTTGCATACAAACGCTATTGTTTGGCTCACCCAGTGCTGTGCACATGTTTTTAGTTTGTCCATTTTTGTCTCAACACACCCAGACAGGACCACAGCTCTGTTGTTTAGAATAACCATGAAGGGGAATCCCAAGTTTTACCTTTGTCGTATAGATAATCTTGCATTATTTTCATGTGCGTTGGTTAAAAGGTATAAAATGATGAATTAATACACTAGACACATGGTTTTATTTGAACACTTTATTATGACATCGTAAAGTAATGAATAAAAGCAATGGTTTTATTCGTAGGCCTAGGCCTACAGTTGTATGTTAGGCTTGGTAACATCCTTTGTTCATAACATAGGTTTATTGAGTATTACACATGTATTAGGTCAAAAGTCACCAAAAATTTAACCCACCTTAATTTTAAGAATCCCCTGATTTACATACGCCCTCGGTTCTGTACCGTACGTAAAATGGGGTTCTACTGTATTATTATTATTATTAATATTATTATTAATATTAATATTATTATTATTTCATTATGAATGTTGAATAATACTGTATTTATGATAATAATAAAGTTACATACTTATAATAACTGATATCTTCTCAGTGGTTCACACAATTGATTATGTTTGAAAGTCATGAAAAATTTACAAAAAATTACGAGACCAGCAGATGTAACATTATTATAGCTCTTTGTAACTTAAGGTACAACTCAATAGGTCTAGGAACTCCAATTAGCAACTCAATAGTATTATGTAACAATGTATTTGTTAACAGATAAAGCATTTAACAAATAAAATATATATTAGTCCTATACCATGTTTCATTTTACTTTCATTTATACTCAACATCTGAAATGCATTCCTGGTTCATTGCTTGTAGAGTTTAATTACTGTATATAGTGTGTAAACATGAGCTGTTGTAATGATATAGAAACAGGTTCCTCAAAAGAAATGGTATTTTTTTATAGGATTTTTATTTAGAATGTGTAGCTAAAAATTTTAAACATGAAATGAAATGAAATATGCTTAGTTTGGTTTTTTATAATTCAAAAATATTTGATAATCATTTCATCATGAGCAGTGTAGGCTGTGCATATGAATCAAAAATCTATTCTGAAATTTGTAAGCACTGTACTTATCCCGTATTTGATTTATTTAGTTATTAATTCAGTTCTTAACTACTATTGTTTGTCAAGTAGGTGAATAAACATCACTATATTAAACCATCATTATGTTTTACTCAAATTTAATTCACAGGCATCCCAAGTATATCTTCAAACTCTGCTGGGCTTTGGGATAAAGGTCTTTTGTCATTCTTTATTAATTTTTTTTGTTGCTTTTTTGCCACAAGAGTACGCACATGATGCAATTTAACTTTGCTAATATATTTAAAATACTGTATTAAAATACTATGTCAAACACCATATTAAAATACTGTAGGCTTATTTCAAATTTTAAACATATTAAAATATCATAAAAAGTTGAACTATGACATTTTTAAAAATGCCTTAAAAAAAATTCATACAGTTCTATGTACCCCATAGTTCTTGAATTCCTGAGAAAGAACAGTCGAGTATTACTCTTTTTATAATATTATGACAATGTTCTACTCCACTAAATTGTTTTTATTAATAACCACACCTATAGAAGTACTTCTCCACTAAAAATTTTTTTATTAATAACCACACCTAAATACTTAAAGTTTTCAACAGACTCAGTTACCTGGTTATTAAAATCAAGGGGAGGTAGAGGACTGCATATTTTACAAAAGTCAAATAGTATTTCTTTGGTTTTCTGTTCTTTAAGCAAAAGGCAATAAAGCTACACCAATTAAAGAATACACTCCTCTTGATATTCATCTTCAGTTCCTTTACTATGACAGTGTCATCTGTATATTTTAAATAATGTATATGTATGTTTCAGACCTGATAGTCATTTGTGTACATGGGTACAATCCCCCCCCCCAACAAATTTTATATAGAGGGGTTGGTTCCCCCCCCCCCACATTTCATCCACAATGTAAATTCTTAAGTTAGAAAAATGCCTGAAAATTGATGAAATGAACTACTGTACATAAATGACCAGGTTTTAACAAAAGACCGCTGTACAGGCAGATAACATTATAGCTAGATACCGGTGCCTCTATCCATAAACATCTGACTTGTTTGTGTGCTTGCCTTTATTGTAATTATGAGAAAAAAAAATGTGTAAAGATAAGATTTGTTTCCGCTTGTGAAGTAGGTAAAGTTAAGTAAATACATCAAGTTTTAATTTCTATGGTACATTGAAGCGAATAACATTATATCAATAATGATGAATTTACTATAAGGTAGTTGATTTTATTTGATTTATTTCTAAATTTTCACAAGCAAACAGAGTACAAAATTAAATGAATAATAAACAGCAATTAAAGAATTTCAGGATAACCCTTTAAGCATTTTCTGGTTGTTTCCGAAGGGGTCCCATTAAAATAATAAGGAACACTACAAAGACAATTTACACAAAGAAGGCAATTGGATTGGATTGGACTTATTCGGTGCGAACACCAAAGATACACCGGGGGACAATCCCCTACTCTTTTCTGAAGAGTGTACTGCGTTCTTTAACATGCACATGGGCCACAATGCACATGGGCTTAAACGTCTCATCTGAAAGACAGTGTGCTATATTGTAACTTGCATTTCAGCCCTCTAACTGAAACACAAGGGAGCAGCGATGGGAATTTAACCATGGACCTAGAGATCTCCACGGTTCAGCACACACACAGTGGCTACCACCAAATTAGCCGACTGACCAAAGCTGCTCTCTTACTTTAGGCAATGGCCTAAAGTAAGAAACAAAGCAAACAAGTACAATACAGAAACATTTTTCAAAAATAAGGTAGTAAAGTAAATAAATAAAAGACTATGTTTTTTTATTTTTTATTTTTTATGGTACATCACACATAGATTAGATTCACTTTGCCTAGTGATGTGATGATGATAAATTTTACTATATAAAAATGTCATTTCCGGCTGATGCGGGCGTGGTCACACATAATATCCCCCCCCCCCGCCTTCACTTTTCGAAACAGATCTGTGCCCTTTGTTTGTGTACAATATGAATAAAAGGGGATTCGGAAAACTTGGGGGATCCTAAGTAGTGCTGACGCTTGACTTATTTCCTAAAAATACCTCTTAAGTTCGATTTCCCTTACTAACTTTCTATCCATTTGATTATAAAAGAGTTCATCTTTAGTTTAAACAACCTATTGATTAGAATAATTATGATTAAGTGTATTAAATGCTGTGGAAAATTCATAGCATCTTTGGTTGTATGCTGATTTAGTATCATTGATAGACCTGCCTGATTGATATGCAACTGATAAGGATCAATTAAATGAGAAAGGTTGAAATAATTAAATTTCATCACTATCAAAGTTAAAGCTACTGGACTATAGTCATTTAAAATACTACGATTAGGAATTTTGGGTACTGGAATTATCGATGCATCCTTTCAATGGAACAATACAGTATGACTATCCAGTGATAATTTAAACAGTTTCGGAAAAGGGCAATTCCACGGCTACTCATGTTACATTCTGAGCAAATCAGAACTTCATGGAGTCTTCTTTTAAAGAAATCTTAGGCTCCTTTTGGTCTCATTTTTAATATCCACTTTCATTGACTTGATGAATCTTAAATTCCCGTTTTTAAATTTAAAGGCATTTGACAATTCATGAGTAAGTGCTTTAATTTGTTGCAGTAACCAAGAATGTTTATAATTATTGAAGTATTTATTTGTGTGTTGTATAGCCTATTCTGAAAGGAGAGAGAGAAAGGAGAAGGCATTCATTAGGTTGAAAGAAATTAAAATTGAAAGTTGGCTAACAGGAATTTGTTTTAATTATTGTTAATTACATAAATGAAAAAAAAAAAAAAAGGATTGTGAAAAAATAAATAAAATTTGTAGTTGATGGTTATGTTGTTCACCTTTTTTAGTTCCTATGCATGCAATGCAATAGGAACTATTGTAATCACTCTTTAGTCACATTTCTTTTGTTTTTTATTGTGTGTAGTGTGTATGTGTGTGTAGACATTTATGGAAATGCGCATGCGTCAAAGAAAAGTTTTCCGACATTTTGTTTTACATCGCGATGGGAAGATAAATGTGAAGTTTCTGCAGAGTTCAGTCAGAACTCACACTAACCGACCGGAAAGTCGGCATGGATGAAACTATTTTGGTTTACAGCAAAAAAATTCAACTGCTGTAGGCATAGGTATTTTGAAGAAGGCCTAAAATAAAACTAAATCGCATATTTAGGTATTTATGAAAGAAAACTTTTTCAGCACTAGTAATTTGTTTCTGAATCATTCACTTTCTACCAGGTACACATATATTGTCCTGGTTGTTGAGATGCAAACATAGATAAAATATCTTATCCAACAACACAAGGAATGTGTCCAGCATCAGTCATTTGTGCCACACGCTTCCACAATTGAAGCTAATAGAATTTCTGTTCTATTCTATTGTAGTTATAGTCTATTTAATGATTATTATCTGAATAACATTTTGCAGGGATGCAGAATGCAGGCTAGATTTATAAATGCATCATAGGCTTTTTTTGAAGTGGAGAAGGGGGTGCAGGTTGTTGTTTTCAGGGAGACAATTGATAATACATCATTACCTAATTCAATTTTTAATGCATAAAAATGTTAGTCCTCGACCATTATTTCAGTATTTATTTTTGGAATTTTTATAGAATTTGATAAAGAATTTACCGATTTTACATTGAAAGTTGCAAGATGGTATGATGATCACAAATCCACCAACATCCTGAAAGTTTTTTACAGAGAGCATTTGAAAAACTCCTTTGATTGCAGGAAAACGGTGCGTTGATGTTGGTTCCCCTGCGATAGTCTGTTTTCTCATGCTTTTTTTTAAATTCTTAGGTCACTTGGTTAGATTTTAGGATTTAGTTTTTGGTTTGTTTTCTTTCGTGTAACTTAAGCGCATAGAGACCATGTAGTCCCAAACCATTACCATTACCATTACCAAATATTGTATTTCAATAGACTTGTTAGATGCCTTAATTGTTACGGGAGATCTAAGTTCAGCAGATCATACCATCCTGTATGACATAATAAAGTAACTGGACAATTTAGGAGAAGAAATTCAATTTAAAATGTCATCATGCCCAAATATCAGGGAAGTAGACTATTCAAAATTCAGCCTACATAGGCAACGACTGATGAAGCTAGAAGCAACACTGACATTGCAGGATGAAACAGCGATAAGTGGCATGTACAATAACCCAGTAAACGAGTATGACGATAGCTGGAGTTTCATTTTGGAACTAGAAAAAAAGAGGAATAATTTGAGAAGGAAATATGAAGGCATTCATTGATAAGTTGAAAAAAAATGAAATGTTTGATGCTGTAAACTTTTTAACAGGTATTCTGTTTAATTAAAGTGCCTCTGCCACCTATTCTAACAATTTCTATAAACTACAGCATGTTTATATTTATAAATATATTATAAACAAAAGTGTTGGTAATATATTACGAATAAAATTGATTTTGTACAAAAATAATGAGTTTGAAGTGTCATTTTTTAAAGACCTTAGAAACAAAGGTCAGTCAATGACGTCATCGGTGACCGACTTTGCCAAAATTTATCCAAGCGTGAAATCAAAACAAACTCTGCACTAGACCTGTTTAATTAATTGAAAATTACATAAATAAAATGGGCCATGAAAAATAAAATTTGTAGTTGGTGGTCAAGTTGCCTATATTTTTTTAACCTTATGATTTCTAATTTGTTACTGAAAGCAACATCACTTCAGTAGTCTCATAAGTTGTGTTATTCCTCCTATTTTATATGATGTAAAATACATCATTAACAAATTATTAGATCGAGAATTATGTAAAAAGAAAATTACCCAGTAAAGGAATATTTTGGGATTATTGTGACATTCCTGCTAAATTCATAAACACTTAAAGGTATATTAATTAATTACTGTTTAAATTGGTTTGGTTATTAATGTTTATCGGTGTCAATTTTAGAATAGTCATTTTCTGGCATATGCAGTATTCTCATAATTATCATGTATTGTAGTGTTAAAAATAGTAAAACATTGCAATATTTTCTCTGCTTGTTATAGAAGTGAATAATTTCTTATTATTTCTTGAGTGACTAAAATATTAATTTCATATTTTAGTCACTCAAATATACATTACTGTATATTACATAACACCTTTATTGTACTATAGCAAGACTGTTTACAATAACAATGTGTATAATTAATTTTACGTTTCCTGACATTTAACCTGTTGTCTTAACTAAAGTTAAAGTATACTACATAATTTATTAGATAGTATAATGCATACTACTCCCAGTATCGAAATACAATTCAATATTTCAACATTAATTATGTCATCATCAGGAATGATGACTGAATACTTCATAACCATATTTTGCGTAAAGTAGTAGTTTTCTAAGTTTACTTGTATTCTGGATGCACAATAATTATGATGGGTGCTCAAGATTGTCAAGATTTCTAATCCATGATTAAAAGCAGCATCACTTCATTAGTCTCGTAGATGATTATAAATTGCATAATTTCCCTCGTATTCTCTTTGGTTTCATGCAAAATACATTATTACCATATTTATTCAAATAAACCCTCACTTTGAATATGACTAGTAAATAGATTTAGAGTGGTCTAAAAAGTTGTTTACCAAAAAGTAGTTTAGTTGTATTCCACAAGAAAATATAGCTTTTGCATAGAAATTGAGAAGGAAGGAAATAAGAATATCATTGTTCAAATGTTTAGACAAAATGAACTATTATTTTTACTATATAATGTGTTCCATTTATTGTAAACATCATTAAGAATAGACAAAGCAAAGTTATCAATATTTGACCCACAGTTTTTGAGCTTGACTTTTAGTTTGATGTAGGTAAATATTTTTCTATCAAATTTTAATAGTATTGTATATGTTTTAATTACAAATTTAATTGAAAAAAATTAATGTAAGTTGCTTTTGTTTGCAAATTCAAATTACGGCCATTATAGAGAAGCGAATAAAGGTAGTACATTTCCAGGTCAGAGAAACAATGCCAAAGTTTGTTGCAGTGGATTATACAGATGGTCAGTGTTACTCATGTTACCTACACTTTTTTTTTCTTTTTTTAATAACAACCAGTAAATTTTGCCAAGGCTCAGTCTTCTTATTTTTTGGTCGATTTCAGGCTCAAAGTGTTCTTCTTTTGTTCTTATTTTACACAATCATCAAATATATAAAGTTATTATTGTACAGCAGTTTACACTGTACTGGTGGTATGTAGGTAAAAGTGGCGTCAGAAAATATGGCCCCAAATGACAGGTTTACCTCAGCCTCAATTTGTTCTTATTTTGTTCTTAGCCTCAGTGTTCTTAGAAAATGTGTTTTTATTTTTTAATAAAAGTGTGTTTGATTTTTCTGGATTAATGTTTTTATCACACCAAAGAACAATATTTTGTGCCTCCTATCATGAAAATATCTTAAATAAAGTTGGCCGTTAGAAGCAAAACTAAATTATTTCGAATGCCTTTGAAAAATCAGGTATGGTTTTTATTACCAACATATTTATGATGGTCAGAATTATTGTATTAATCATTTTATTTTCATTGACCGACCTTATAGAATCAACAGTGGTATCATTACCACTACATTCATCATTATATACATTTAACTTTACCATGATGATGATGATGATCATCATCATCATAATCATAAATCACTACTGCCTTCTTCACCACCACCACCATCATCATAGTACTATCACTATTTCATCAGAGAGGTTATAATTTCCCACACAACAAAAAGCTGAGAAAAGCTTATACTGTGACTGGATCTTTGTCACTATTTATTTATTTATTTATTTATTTTTTTTAAAGTAAAATTCTGTAATACTAAATCAGAATCTCCAATATATTTGTTAGCAAAAATTAAATCTTAAAGGTTTTTTTTTCATATTTTATTTGGAAGTATTTTCTATTTTTGGAGTGGACCAATACTTGGAAATGAGACCAGCACTCATGACAGTAAATTATCATTTTATAAAAGAAGCGGTGAAAGCAGTGGTATCGGTAAAGTCTTTACCAGTTTCTTTTATAAGCCAATGCGACCAATTTTTTTGCATAATAGAAGAAAATAAAATAGAAGGTAATGCAAAATGTACAGGCCAATACACAGGAATTTTATTGGGTGGATGTGAATTTGAATTTATTCGAATAAACACTCACTTTGAATAAGCATCATCCCAACTTCAGTTCTATTATGGCAAATACATTAAATTAAAAAGTAATAAATAAACAAAGTAATTTCATGTCTTTTTTTTAAAATTTATATTAGGATTACCAATCATTTCAGATGTGAATCCACAAGAAATGTAAGTACAAGAAGATGAATTGTTTTAACTGCAATCTATATCAATCATTACTTTTGCTTGCTTCTTAAATTATTTACCTTATTTACAATGTGCATTTTTTTTATTTTTTTTTTTATTAATTTAGTGATTAAGTTTAACTCTTACGTCTATCAAACATGTTGCATCTGTGCTATAATTTCCTGCAAACATACTGTTTTTGTAAAAAACAGACTAAAGAAAATTTTACGCTATTAAGTCAATCGTAGTGAAGTCTAATTGAGTTACAATTCATATTTTGGTAATGAATTGTTAGAAACATTCCAAACTTAAGTGCCAATTAATATACTGTAAAATTTATAAAACTATGTCTATTCATCAATCCAAATACAGTATCCAGCAACGAGGGGTCTGATCTGGTGGAAAAATCGGACCATCACTGAGTTTCAGATTGCTTCTAGCAATCAGTCATTACTTTTTCTTGCTTCTTGAACTGTTTACCATTCTTACGATGTGATTGAATTTAACTTTTTTTACGCGCACATCTGTGCATACATGTTGAATATGTTTCTACGAAACATACTGTTTGTCTTGAACTTTAACTCCATTGATTTGCCTAATTAGCTTGCAATTAAAAATTGTATAGAGACAATTTTGGGAAATTGAGAAAGGAAGAAATTAGTTAAGAAAGCAATTACAATAGTGGATTTTTTTTGTATTATAACAATTATTTGCGAACGTTGTAAATGTTGAGATTACATTATGTCAGGAAATAATGTTGAAGATGTACTATACATACAGTAATGGATTTTTGTAGTAGTATTTTGTTGTAATATGTCTTTAAATCTATTATTCGTGTCAAGATTTCATTCTGGTTTTATGTTTTGAATAGTCAAGAATATTTTTCATTAGCCAAAAATTTTTCATTAGCCAAAATATTTAAAATCAGATTGTACAGCACCAATTTATCAATTTTGGCCCTTATGTAATTTTAATCAATAAGCTGCACCTGATTTTTTTATTTATTTAAGAAAGCTAGGTTATTAGCTTATTATTTTTTGCATTTATTTAAGAAAATATGTATTGTTAATTTTAGTGAAAAAAAGTAAAAAAAATTAAAATAATTATTTAAGTTAAGTCTTTCAGTGAAAGACTAGCTTCAAAATATCATTTTAGGGTAAAAATGTGTAAAATTTGTCATATTTTAGTAAAATTTGGCACTAAGTGTTCTTGTTTTTGGATGCCTTGTTTGGTTTGGTAATGGTAGAGTGTCTGATATAGATAGGCTAAGACGAGTTGTTAGACATGCTGGCAAAATCATGCAGTTAGATTTAGATTTCGACATGATATTCATGAAACGTATTATAGGCAAAGTAGAACAAATTATGAAGAATAAAGATCATACACTATACCACTACTATAACTGGTTACCCTCTGGTAAAAGATTGTCTATATGTACAAAAACAAAAAGATACAAAAATTCATTGGTTCTCTCCCCTATCAGGCTCTACAGTGAGTCCGTATACAGGAATAGGGTTAAATGAACATTAGTTATCTTAGGTTTTTAAACTTGGAAAATTGCTTTTCAATGGTTTTATTATCTTCTTCCAGAGTTAAACATCTGGAATTAGATTTTTCTCTAGATTTTTGATATGTTATTCCTCATTGAATTCTGAGTTGAAAACAATTTTTTTCATTACTGTTGCAATTTTTTCCGGTTGACCCTCTTTTTTCGTAGATTGATTGGACGTATGGAACCGATGGAATTAAAGATAAAAAGTAAGCTTCCAATACTTTTCTGTGACTAAATACATTCAAATAATAAGAAAGTATTGTATGTGTGGAAGGGGAATATGAATATGAAGGTGACTTGTACCACTTTCTACATAGTTTGTTTCACATTGTCTTTAAGTAAGTGTATATTTACGCCTCAACGACTTCATAGGCTTTCTGGAATAGGCATTTTAAAATCTAATATTTTACTATCAAAATGTA